AACCAGGGAGGACTTCCTTAAGTTAGGCAATGTCGTTTGACCCAGTATCCTTAATTAGTAGGACAACGGTCAGCAAACTTCCTCCATCATAACTTCCAGACCATCAGCTATGAATACGACAGTCAAGATAGGTTCGACTCCTATCGCAGTCACTGATTCTCAACCCGAAACATCGTTACACAGAAAGGATGAAGCTCCCTACTTTGTGTAAGATGCTCAGACGCAAATGGAAACTGGACGATACAGTTCCGTCGCGGTTAGCTATCGGCACGTGGAATCCCGGGCTCCAATCTTGGTATAGATTGCATAGAAGATAGAAACAAAAAGACACTAACCTGGACAATACAGTTCCGTCGCGGTTAGCTATCGGCACGTGTAATCCCGGGCTCCAATCTCGGTGAGGAAAAGAGAAAGAGGAGCCGGGACCGGTGCCAGTAGGACTATATACTATGTACATGCACTATCTAGGTTAGGGTTGTGAGTATCACTAATCTAGGTTAAGGTTGTAAGTACATAGTATAAGTTAACACAGTTTATGTAATCTTGTTCTTCTTGAATCTTCCGCCACAGCTCTAACACCCCCCCTCAAGATTACAAAAACTACCCTCCTACTCCTAATTGATCCAGCGCCGACATCATTTTTGTTGGTCCAAGTCTTTTAGTCAATACATCAGCCAATTGATTATGTGTGCTTGTCCACGTAACTTTAATGTCGTGTTCTCTAATTAAATCATTAACAAAATAGAATGTGCGTTGGAGATAGCGGGTTTCTTCTTTGAGGTGTTGTCTGTTGCAATCAGAATTGCTGCTTCATTATCACAATGAATTTTTAAGCTGGGTTCTGAGTCCATTTCTTCAAGGATATTCAATAGGTGGGCTAGTTGCTGAGCGCCCTCCGATAGTGCAAGGTATTCGGCCGCACACGTTGACATTGCTACCACCGTTTGCCGTTTTGAGCCCCATGCTATACTATTCCCATTGTGAGTTAGCAAATAACCCGTAGTTGACCTCTTGTGTTCGCCTCCCCAGTTAGCATCCGTCCACAAATCCAGTCCCCCAGTCCCCTTTTTGTACACTAACGCCTTATCCACAGTCCTTCCCAAGTAGCCAACCAACCAGTCCAACGCCATCCAGTGTTCTTTTGAAGGTGCCGCACAGAATCTTGCTAGCAAGTTCACTCCATAGGCTAAGTCCGGTCGAGTACCACACGCCAAGTACATAAGTGATCCTACGACAGACCTATAACTCGTCTGATCAACAGGGTCACCCGAGTACAATTCCAGGTCCATTTCTGGTAGAGGGCAATGGTGCGAGTGAATTTGGTGATGATAGGATGAGACAATTTGTTTTGCCATGATAGATTGGTTTAGTTTGAGATGTGAACCTTCCCAAACAAAATCAATACCGACAAGGCGTTGGACATTGTCAGACCACTTTATTTCTAGTTGACTTTCCATGCCGCGACAAAGGTCGTTGAGGAGGGATTGATCCGAAGATAGCGCAAAACCGTCGTCAATGTGGAGCCAAATAATGATAAATTGTTCATTCTTCTGGAAAAGGTAGAGTGAAGGTTCGATTTCACTTGTTTCAAAACCAAGTGATTGTACGGTCTTCTGGAAAAATTTCCACCAGCAACGGGCTGCCTGCTTGGTACCGTACAGGGCTTTCTTCAGGAGCATAACTTTCCCTTTTAAAGACGGATTGATCTCAACAGGCGGTTGGATGTACACTTCTTCTTCAATGGGACTGTAGAGATAAGCCGAGCTAACATCAAACGTGGCAGTCGGAAAGTTATGGGTCAGACTGAGTGATATCAGGAACCTGAGGATGTTGAGCGATGCAGTCGGAGCATAGGTTTCATTGTAGTCCAAACCAAGTTGTTGATTGAAACCTTTGGCAACGTAACGAGCGCGGTACTTGTCTATGGATCCGTCGGGCTTCCTCTTGATAGAAAATACCCATTGGGCTCCCAGTGCCTTGCTGCCTGTTGGTGCTACAACGGGTACCCAGACTTCAAGTTGTCCAAACTTCAGCATTTCATACTCCGCCGCCGCTCTCCAAAGTGCTGCGTCAGGGCCTGCAAGTGCTTGCTTGATGTTCTTTGGTAAGTTGTGTTCTTCAGAAATGGGTAGTAGAGACAGTTGTTTCCGTTCTTCTTCCGCAATTTCGGCCGTTTTTTCTTCTCCTAGTTTTAGAGCAATTTGTTTTAAAATGAAAGCAACATCAACTTTGTCTTGAGTTTTTCCCACTGGAACTAGGTCAGGGTGGGTTGTTGAAACCGATTCTTTAATGGGTAGACGTTGAAATTCCGGGAAAGTTACTGAAGCCAAGTGTATCATTCTCTTCTCATTTGGGACCCAGAATGTCCATCCAGCACCAGATTCCGGATAGCCAAGGAGTTGTGCATCTTGTCCACGTTCATCTAGCTTGGTTCGGCGTTCTTTTGGGATATGGATAATGGCCTTAGCTCCAAATGGAAAGAGTGTCTCAGCTTTTGGTTTCACTTTATACAACAGTTCAAGAGGTTTCTTGTCTCCGGTCTTGGAGTTGGGGATCCTGTTGTATAGATGTGAGGCCGTAGAGTACGCGTAAGACCACCAAAAGCTAGGGAGTTCGCTAGAATGGAGCATAGTCCGTGCCATGTCGCCAAGAGTGCGGTTGACACGTTCAGCTTCACCATTCTGTTCCGGAGAATACGGCGTGACTGGTGCTAGAATGGTGCCCACAGACTCTAATTGAGGCTTGAGACTTTTGATGTACTCAAGGGCATTGTCACACCTGAGATATGCCGGAGCTCTTCCCAGAGTTGTTTTCAAATGGCGAAGCCACTTCATGATTTTCGCCGGAACCTCAGCTCGGGATGCCATTGGAGCGCAGAAGGTGTAGGTACTAGCATGATCTCGTAGAGTGACCAGGTATCGACAGCCATTGATGTCCAGATTCAAGGGTCCAACAACATCAGAGACGCAGAAGTCAAGTGGTTTGTCTCTGGGTATCAACGTTTCCATGCCAAGTGTTTTCTTGTCGATACTCTTTGATTTGGCGCATTGCTCACAAAAGAAAGGCTTCCAGTTAATTTTCTTATCTGGGTAGTTGAGCCAAAGGAAATTTTTGACTACTTGGCGAACATGCCAAATGTAAGGATCAAAAGATGGCACTTGAGTAATTTTCATTGATTGGAAGGCACTAGTCTTAAGGGACCAACAATAATTGTGAAAGATAGTATCATATTTATTGTTGAGGGGATCAAAAAGAGTTGCCTGAGTTCCATCATAGATTAATTTCCACCCATCAGCCAATAATCTACCAGTCGATAGTATAATCCCATCAACTCCCGGACAGTGATACACATCATTGATCTTCAGCGGCCCTGTCGGTGTCGGAATTGTCACACTGCCGATGGTGGTGACGGTGACATTGCAGTCAGACAAAGCAAGGTAGAAAGTTCGAGGTTGAGTCAGCTTCCTTTCTTCCTTGAATAAATTTGAGTCGCCGCGTACGTGGGCGGAGGCTCCAGAGTCTAGAAGGCAGCCATCAGTCATGTTGGGAATGTTAACTTGACGGAGGCGGTCGTTGTCTGATTGGCGAGGGGGCTGATAACGGGATTCATTTGACTTGTAATTATCGGGGGGAGGGGATATCTTCTTGGTAGCAACATCTTGCCAGAACTCGGTACAGTCGGAGTACCAATGGCCGTCTTTCTCACAGTAGCTGCAGTTGTTGCCATATCGGTTGATCAGGGCTTCAGATTGTCCCTTGCCCTTGTAGTGGGCGGCTTTGTCAACCGACATCCAAGGCATCCGAGGGGCCTGACGATCCGCTGGGGTTTGTCGACGTCCAGGGGTAACGTACTTCGACGGCTGAATTGTATGCAGCCGGTCTAGATCCATCGGAATGGGGCTGGTGGTTGATTTTGCCTTCAGCTTACCTGTTGCTGCTTGAATGATTGAGGAGACATCAGCGAAGACAGGGGCCTCGTATCCGTCAAGCTGTTGATCGACCGAGAATTCGAATGTCTTCACGTCAATGCCGGTTGGTGGAGTGAAGGTGGATTGGAGCAGGAGGCCGCTAACTTCCTCCCACTTCACCTTGAGTTGATCGAGCTCAGCAACGACAGTTGCCCACTTCAAGAGTGTGTGACTGTCAGCCGGGGTCGGGTCCGTTGCTAAAGCCATGAGTCGGTTGATGAGGTCTATCTTGTGTCGGCGATCCGACTTGGAACAATTTTTCTTCAGCAGATTATAAAGTTCGAGGGGTGCGGTGAGTTTTGATCCGTTGACGATACCGATGAGACCGGTTTCAATCGTATTACAAATAATACTCGTGATAGACGAGTTTTCATCGACCGAGAGTCCATCGAAGTTCTTCACATTTTCGAGGAACGACTTCTGTTTCATGAAAAGTGCATGAGCGTCCTATCAAGGGCGTCATGCCAGAGTTGGAAATGGACACCGTCGTAGTCCAGCATCGGCTTGTCCGGATTGATTTCCTTGTGCGCCGAGAGGGGGGAGCGCACGAAGTTCCGAAGCATGAGCTCTTGCCGAGATAATGGTCCGCTGGGCTGAGGTGGAGGAGGTGTGGTTGGGTCGGGGATGGGTACTTGAGCCGCACATATTGTTTCCATCCCAGCTCGGAGAGAGGTAAGTTCCAGTCGCATCTCGTTGAACATCGAGAGCGCTTGCTCAGCCGAGATGGTGGCAGGGGGATCTTGAGGGTCCTTTGGGTTGGACATCGCGTCGGAGGCTAGACCTTCGTCGGATGTTGAGTCTTCTGAAGGGGAAGGGATTTGGTAGGTTGATTTATTTGAGCTTTCGGGTTGTTTTCCTTTTAGATCCGACTCTTGTTGAGTTATTTCTTGTTCTCTTCTCAATCGTTCTTGTTGGATTTTCTTTTTCTTGTCTTCGTATGACACAAACCAACTCATCAAAATTTATCGACCTTATAGAGACCTTGGGGAGACCTAACGCGCAAACACAAGTAGCTGGCTTTTAACCTGTAAGATGCTCAGACGCAAATGGAAACTGGACAATACAGTTCCGTCGCGGTTAGCTATTGGCACGTGGAATCCCGGGCTCCAATCTCGGTATAGATTGCATAGAAGATAGAAACAAAAAGATACTAACCTGGACGATACAGTTCCGTCGCGGTTAGCTATCGGCACGTGGAATCCCGGGCTCCAATCTCGGTGAGGAAAAGAGAAAGAGGAGCCGGGACCGGTGCCGGTAGGACTATATACTATGTACATGCACTATCTAGGTTAGGGTTGTGAGTATCACTAATATAGGTTAAGGTTGTAAGTACATAGTATAAGTTAACACAGTTTATGTAATCTTGTTCTTCTTGAATCTTCCGCCACAGCTCTAACACTTTGGCCTACGCCGTCGTACTGACTCTGGTACTTGCAGGCTTCTCCGACGCCGATCCAAAGATCAAGTGCATCAAATGCAAATTTCACACAGGTTTTGAAATTGCAACCACCTTACCCTCCAAAGACGTCTGTGGGTACTCCGGTCGCATGTTGCCCCCAGGTGTATCGGTCTGTCCAAATCTGCGTCGGAAGAAATACATCCAATGTTCTGATCACCAATGTGCACAGTTCCTCTCCATGAATCCCAAGCACACTGATCAGACTCCTGCTGATCTTAGGTTGTGCGGCCATCCATGGAAGATTGCTCTGACCCCTCCTTGTTCTACATCTAACTCAGTTTCTATGCAAAACTTCATGGGTTGATCGTGGGCAATTAATTAGAAATAGGGCAAGTGTTCCTTAGAATCAAATCCTTTCAGGCAATCTGCCAAGTGGAAAAGAACCCAGTCAGTTCAGTTATGTAGAGATCTATAGTAGAAAGGCATAGCCCTTGAAATCATAAGATCACTTCATGAAAGACCACAAAACATTCCTTGACTTTTCTAGGTTTTTTGTTCTTCTTTTTATTTTCCAATTTGGATGATATATGTATATAAATTTCTATATCTTGAGATTCAAGCAGGCCTTCTCTGATGCATGGTGAGTTCTTGATCATAGCAGTGTGCTCTATTGCTGTGACACAAAAAAAAACTAAGAGGGTGTTTGTCAATATTGATCACAATCAAGTGTAATATGTTGGGGTTTGATAAGAGCTGATTGACAGCCACCCAGTGTCTGATATTTTCAACAGATCAAGAAACTCAAACAGTGTTCCAATGTGATGAAATATGTCATGACAATTCACCAAAATTTGATAGATTAGAGCCACAATGCAGGCACTGCAGTAATTTAAACCTAGTTAAGAATTAAATCAATTGATTTGTTGAAGTTTTATTCAACACAAAAGAAGCCGCAAAACTTTGAATTATTGTCATGACATGCAGCTCCACCAAAAAGTGCGGATCAGGATTTCCAAAGATGATTGTTGTGGCTGGATTGTGTATATCATTGAGGCATGTCTGACTCCTCACTGTCATTAAGTTTGAAGGGTACTAGAAGAAAGATGAAGCTTTGGGATCCCAGATTCCAGAACCACTATATGTATAATTCTTAGCTCAGTAGGAAGAAATTCAAAGGTATATAATCTACATAATCATATTGAAGAGAGAAGAAGAAAAGGAAGATGATTGAATGTAAGAACTCACCTAGATCATTAAAACAAAATTCAGAGGTCTCCATTGAGCTGGGGGGGGAGGGGAAGGAAGAATCTGACCAGTCTGTCAAGGTAATGATTATATGTAATCTGAGAATCAATGTTTTTAAAACCTTTACTGGGCAGAGGCTTCACAGTATATACCACTAGTATATGCCCCCAAATTTGGGGAGGCAGCTTGTGTTTGCCCCGGATGTTGGGGGCTTTACTTGTTTAAGGTCCTATGGTGTAATAGCCTTCGATTTTGAAGGTCGCTATGATTGTAAAGTTGTTGGAAATGACATTGAAATGTGCAACATCGACGCCGGCGTTAGAAGCCGCATGAGAAACAATACAAAGACCTATTGAAAGCTGACAGTTTGTTTGGCCCTCTGAGGCTGTTTTTTTAGTTATATGTAGATGTGTTTCTGTGCACATGTCCATCAATTTGGAATAGGGCTTCCTGGATTGACGGGTGTCCGTGTGTCCAAACTGTAACATCTTATGAAACTTGTGTTTTTTGAATGCATCGGCTTTTTTTCCGAATGTGTGGCTTCTGTGAATCAAGCAATATTTCTCCCCAAAAACCACCATGCATATGTTTGATTTTAATCGTTACAAAACACTCACTTTTAGGGTTTTTTGTTTTCACAGAAACGGAGCAATTACAATACCAATAACCCACCTTGCAAGATTCCCTCCAATTTCATCAAGGAGAGAAAGAATGCAAAAAAAAAGAATTGGGTTTATAAGGTCTTTGATGATCAATGATCTTATCTTGTGAATTAAGCATTCCAAAGTTTTCGAAACCACCAAAGCTTGCGAATTTCTGGAAGGAAGCTTTTAAGAGTTGGACATCCTCCATTTTCCTTCGCCTTCTTCTCCATCCCTCAAGCAAGATAATCCAGAGTAAATCAACTCTGCCGCAAAAACCCTTGTCAATGATATTGTATTAGTATAAGTAATGTTGAGTATCTATGTATGGATGTAAATTTACATATTCAATTGGGAACACAAATAGAAGGGAAACAAAAACGGATAATGCAAGTCTCACAAAAACCCCCCCAAAGAAAGAATGATGATGATGATGAGTGGTATATATTGAATGCAAAAAAAGAAAAAGAAAGGGTGGGAAGAAACATCATTTTCCCTCCCCCCCCCCAAAAAAAAGAAGAAGAAGAGGAACCAGACATGATTCCAAGATTGATCTGAATACAACAACCAAAACCAGCCCCCAAACCCATTGAACAAAAAAAAAAGAGACAAAATTCAAAAACAAGGAAGAAGAAACAGCAGAAACAAAAAAAAAGGAACGGATATGCCCCAAGAAAGAATTAATCAGAAACAAGATCCGAGCCCAAAGCCAGGGAGATCTTAATGAATTGGATGAGCTTCAATTGATCTTTGATAGCGGCGATTTCGGCGACGATTTCGAGCTCGAAAGCTTCGAATTTCGAGCATCGAGGAGAGTGATTGAGAGGAAGATTAGAGTTGAGATTGGGAGTGGAGTGAGGCTGAGAATTGAGCGTGATTGAAGAAAACGGGGGGAGATTAGAAGAAGAAGAAGAATCGGAGGGGGAGAGAGCTAGCAGTCGATGATGATCGATCTGCAACCGGTCCAGCTTATTGCGCAGTTCAAGGTTGTCGAACTGGACCGAATCGAGCGAGTTTTCGAGCTCGATGTTGAGCTCCTGAAGGCCCGATACCTCCTCCTCCAACCGTCCGATCTCCTCCACCAACGCCTTCTCTCGCTCTTGATCAGACAGCTTCTTGAGCGAGTTTTCATGCTCGCTTCTTTGCTCAAGTTTCTGGATCTCTTTCTCCAGCTCGATCTCGCGTTGTTGGGATCGTTCTAAGGAGGCGGAAAGCGTGGCTAGTTGCGTTTCATGGATCACCATTTGTTGCTGTTGTTGTTGTTGTTGGTTGATGATCGGTGAGTTTGAGGTAAATGAGGTCCCGGAGATCCGGGATCTAGAGAGAGGAGTAGATGCGGGAATAAATCCGAAGGAGGGGCGTTTTTTGATCCGAGAGCTGGTGGTGTTCAACGAAGATTCGGATTGCTTGTGGGAAATCTTTTTGGGAGGATCCTGTTCGTTCTCTTGGACGATGGTTAGGAAGTTAGCGCGCGCAGAGGCGAGTGCGATAGCGGCGGACTGTACGGCGGGTTTGAGTGGGGTGTTGCTCATGGAGATGTCAGCGACCATCGCCTCGGTTTCGTCTGGGTCCGTCAACAGTCCCTCGCCCGCCCCGTCTTCCCAATGCAGGCCGCCCAGGGTGGACATGGTCGAGTAACGGAGCATGTCGGTCACCGACGAGCGCGCCTTACTCAGTCGGTCTCGCTGTCCGTGTTGCTTGCTCAAGGAGGCCGCGAGGGCGGAGATGTTGGGTGAGGAGTTCCCGACCAGTGAGCCGGTGGGTGAGACGGCCGAGGTGTTGGAGCCATTGCTTGGCCGTCGCTGGGGAGTGACCCCTAGCATGTTTTTGGAATGCCCATCAGTCAGTAGCTGAGACTCCTGTTGGAAAGCTTGTGCAATCTGCATCACTCGGGAAGGCTTTCGTTTGATTTGAGAGATCCCAGTCTGCTCAGGTGGCGAGACCCCAAGCGAGGAGGTGGACCGGTCGAGGATCTGTTTCGAGCGTGCCCTGGTCATCGGCCGCTTCGGCGTTTGTTCTTCGACAATAGACGGGAACACGATGCTGGTCTGCGGAGTGGGACGGGTGATGGTGTGAGGGAGTGGGAGTTTGGAGCTGGGCTGATCTTCCGAGCTGGTGAGGACTGCATTCTGCTTGAAAGAAGATCGGGATGGGGGCTTTTTGGGTGTTGCATCGGGATCGACGGTGGTCAGATGAGTTGATGAGCCAGGTTTTGGTACTTCTGTTTGCAGAGCGGTCGGGGGTTCAGGAGTGAGAGCAAGACTGGAGGATGAGGAGCGAGCTGGAGTGGCAGGTTGAGCTTGTAAGGTCGAGGATTTCTTGACTCTTAATTTCTTGGTCCCAGGGTTTGAGATTCCGGGAGTTTGGGCAGTAGGCGTGGGTGCGGCTCTGGGCAAGCGACTCTTGCCATCTCGTTTGATGGTCACCAGAGGGGTTTGGGAGGGAGAGTTCCGGCCAGAAAGGAGGTTGAGGTTGTTAACTCGACGACCTAAGGTAGCTGGCGTTCGAGGTTCTACCAGGTTCTTTGATTGGGTGGTTAACCTTGAGCGTGATGGTTTGAGTTGTGAGAGGGATGAGTTGTTTTTGAGTAGGATGGATCGTGTTGAATCGTTGGGAGTGGCAGCTTGTGTTTGGGCCGGTCTTCGTCCGATGGTTTGAGCATTCGAACGGGATCCGTTGAGCGTGGTGGTTGATCGACTCATGATGTTATCCCGCAATAAATATTCGCCCAGAGTGCAGATACCAAACGAAGAGAATGGACGTGGTTATAGCTGGAATGAGCTGTTCGACGGCGTATGTGTGTAGGAGATCGGCTTTAGGAAGTCACTATATTGAAGGCAGTTTTGGGAAGTAAATCGTCAACAACACAGGGCATTGATAAAGAAAGGGATCCAGGAAGTTTGTTACAGACTTACTTGAAATATAATTGTTGAGGATGGTCATCATGTTGGCTTGGCTTGGCTTGGTTGTCAGTGGTAATCGACTACATCATCATGCTTATGTCATCCCTTCGTTTTGCTGACCTCATCAGCTGGATCATCTTCTGACTTCAACTCACTCATTCAATTTCCATAAGATACCTTCATTTCCATCCCCTATCTGACCCCAGCCTAATTCCCATTCCTACCCAAAACAAAAAAACCCATACCACTTTTATTAGCACATGTATTAATTTCAGACAAGTTCACAAAAAACAATCAATTATGATTGAATGATATATTGAGATGTTGGCCATGGATGAGCATGCACATAAGCGTGTGGAAGATATGTTTGTTTTAACTTTTATGAAGTGATGATCCAAAAGATGTTATAAATGGTTTCAAAACAGAGAGAGAGAGAGAGGAAGGATTCAAAAACACATAACTCTTTGGAGTATTCTATATTAACAGTCAATTTGGACAGTTTGTAATGTATCTTGATTTTTAGTCAATTTGCTGAAACAGAACCAGCAAAATGATATAAAAAATTTTTAGTCAATTTGCTGAAACAGAACCAGCAAAATGATATAAAAAATTACGGTTAATTTAAATTAGATATTTATGTGATTCAGCAATTACAATCAGATGGAAACACCGGAAAAGCCAAGACATCCAAGCTGCTTTGACCCCTCTCTCCACACTACCAAACTATCCATCATCCATCACCAGGTCCACATTGCCAATTCTAGTATGTGTTTTTAATTTTTTCTTGCATAAGTACTTTGCATTACTAACAACAGACTTGCAGAATTCTGAGGCAGTATTCCGACCGGCAAAGTCTCCTTTGTGACATCTTATTAATACTTGTCGGGTTGGAAAATGAGGAGACTGACACAATGGTTGAGAATGCTGTTGAGGCTCTTGTATCCATTGGGAGAACCCATGTTCCAAGGCCCAACAGACACTGTTGGGCTGAGATTTCCAAGGTCATGCAAATCAAAGGTTTTGCAGGGTGTGTTGGGGTTCTTATAGACAGTACAAATTTATCAATGGTACAATGGAGAATTATTCTTTGATTGCAAAAGAAAAACAATACTCCCTGAATGTTCAAATACTCTGTGATTGCAACAAATTCATCACATAGTTGGCCAGGTACTGTTGGCAATAGCAAGGTTTATAAGAGGATGCATCCAAATCTGAACCCCTATGAATTCTTTGATATGAAGGTAAAGCCCAGTCTTACAAGTTATATCAAGCTTCTTAACTAACTGGATCCCTTCCTGGCAAGATGGGGCCAATATTTGATTGCAGATTCAGCATACAACTTGAGAAGCACTGTCATTCTGTCTTACAAGGAGAAGGCAGCATACATGATGATCAACACCAATTTGGATTACTGTATGGCCGAATGCCAAGTGCAAGACAAGCGTACTATTGGTTTTTTTTTTCAAGTCACAATGGAGCTCATTGAGGGCAATTTGGTTACATTGCTACGACCAGGTGACAATACACGGCCTAGATCTGTAGTTGCATCATCCTCCATAACCTCCTGGCCAAACTTGGGGATCAATGGCTTGAGTTGTTGGAGGAAGATCAAAATTAACGTTGGTGGCCCACACGCCAATCTGCTTTGGCATGCGGGCCCACACTGCCCTTCTGAGGGGAGTGTGATTATCACTCCCCCCCCTGAGCACCCCTCCTGTTTTGACTCTCACTTTATGCATCTCTTACTTCCTCTTCTTATTGATCTCTTACTTGCTTGTTTTATTCATCTCTAACTTGTTCATTTTATTCATCTCTTACTAGTTCATTTTATTCATCTCTTACTTGCTCGTTTTATTCATCTCTTACTTGCTTGTTTTATTAATCTCTTCCTTGTTCTAATTATTCATCTCTTCCTTGTTCTATTTATTCATCTCTTCCTTATTCCATTTATCCATCTCATCCTTATTCCATTCATTCACCTCTTCCTTATTCCATTTATCCATCTCATCCTTATTCCATTTATTCACCTCATCCCCATTCTCTCTCTCAAAAAAAAAGAGGTTGACTGTTGTTTTATATATATATATCATTTCTGTCATGATCTAATCATGAAGTTTCCCTTGCAAGTCTACACTGACACAAAAGACAACAAAAACAAAAACAAAAAACAAAACAAAACAAGCAAACAACAGATACAATGATGAGCTGTGTAACTGCCTAAAAAAAAAGATGGCCCACATATATTTCAGAGGTTTTTGTGTGTGTGGATTAAACATCTTGGTTACTCCTTAATTAGCCCCTTTTGGGCCCCATTGATGCAAAAAAAAAAAAAAAAAAAAAAAAAAAAGAGTTTTGGGAAAAGTGGCTGGTTTGTAATGGTGGATTTCCTATATCTGATACCCCGGAATGATATGTCCTTATAATACAGGGTTTTCAGGATGGACATAATAAGCAATCCTTAATATATAAGGGCTCATACACCAAAGAGCCTCTCTGCTGATCAGGGGGGTATCTCATATACACCCTCCTCAGCCAGGTGTGTCTCCGGTTATTGTGGATGCCATCTCCCACGTCCGGATGTCCATAAAGCTCATCAACCAAATCAAACCCCCCATTTTTTTCCACATGAGCTCCTTTTTTTTTTATAAACCCAGCCTCCACTTATAAGTAGACTGAATAAAAAAATAAACATAAAAATGCATAAATAAGTGAGAGCTGAAAGGAACCCGCAAGACAGGAGTTGATGGATGATATAAAGCAAGGTGAAGTATAAGGCTCTATACCATTAACAGATCAGTTAGAGCAGATAAAATCCCAGACGAGTAGTGGATGTATGAAATCCAAGAAATTAAGGGCTGCTGCTGCTGATGATGATGATTACAAACAAAGAACCCGGGAACCCAAAAGCGCATCAAAATAAGTATAATAAGTATACAACACCCCCCCTTCACTACTACATCACTAACCACCACCCCCCCGTTCATCCTGCACACACCCTCCTGAGTCCTATCTGAAAACCTCTCTCTCAAACACCCTACCCTACCCTACCCTACCCTACCCCCTATAAAAAACCTACATATTTAGCTCATAAAAACAAACCTAACTAACTAACTAACCAGCAAAAAAAAAAAAAAAAAAGATGATGATGACAAAAGAAGAAAAAAAAAATTGAAAATGCAAGAACCAGAAGAACCCCCCCCCAAAAAACAAACAAAAAAGAAAAAGAAAGAGGGGGGGTCAAGGCAGCCCCCAAGCCTTATGGAGTTTTTTCGAGACCCCCAGGAAAGAGGCGGTAGATTTGATAGAGCCGGTAGTTCGCCCCGAGCCGCCGGTCCCGCCATCTTTAAGCTGTTGTTGTTGATTACTACTACTACTACTACTACTACTAGTAGTTGGATTAAGTCCGATTGGGGTTGCCGTAGCAGTAGCAGTAGAAGTGGAAGGAGGAGCTCCCTCAAGCGACCTGACCAGGCCCCCATCCGCCAAACCATTCGAGCTCTTCTTGCTGTTTTTCTGGTGGAGCAGTCCCCCAGAACTCTGTTCCAACGCGCGGGCTTTGAGCAGCATCCGAGCTCGAGCGGCATTCCGATCGACCGCCGACGAGGAGCCAGGAACGAGCTGAGTGAGAAGATGCGGATGAGCGGAGCGTTTGCGAGTCCTTTGAATCGTCGTCGTTGTCGTCGTCGTTGAAGCTGAAGAAGCTGAAGCTGAAGCTGAAGAAGAAGAAGTGTGGGTAGAAGGATGAGGAGGAGGGTTGGAAGTAGGAGTGTCGAGTGGTGGGCCAGAAGGGGCAGAAACCGAGACCGGGGAAGTAGGAGGGTCGAAGATCGAATGGGTGAGGATAGAAGACGGCCGACTGGACGAGGAGGGAGGTCTCCAAGCCGACGTCGACGTCGATGTCGATGTCGATGCAGCAGCAGCAGAAGAAGAAGAAGAAGGTCCAGACAATGAAGCAGACGCTTTGAGTGGAGTTCTAGAGGAGGAGGAGGACCAAGAGACGAGCGGAATGGGGACGGAGGAGGAGATGTTCATTCCGATGGAGCCGAGCGAGGAGGAGGGCACGGGAGAGTTGATATGATGCGAAGGATTATGATTTGGGGAGCGGGACGGGAGGAGTGGGTTGGAGACGTTATCCGCAGCAGGGAGGAGATGAGGATGACTAGCGATGAAGGATGAATGGAGATAGTGCTGGAGCTGGGGATCGCGGATCGACTTGGTCGACCCAGACGTCCCCGACCGATTCCTTCCCATCATCGTGTTGGTCGTCGTCGATCGGGACCATGAAGAGGATGGTGATGAGGACGAGAAGGAGTCGGTTTGCGAGGTCAATTTGCTCGTCGATCTGCCCATGAACTCGTGATTCCGAATCCGAGTCGTCGTTGATGGTTGTTGTTGTTGAAGGTCATGAGGATTATTAGGATCGGCTTCAATATGTCGACCGACTTTACATAACGAGGCTAACCCTTCTCCTCCCTCACTATCATCATCTGTTTCATCATCATCTTTTTGATTATCTGCTTCGTTCTCTTCTTCCTGCGACTGATGATGATGATGATCGTCAAGAAGAGGAGGTTGAGAGAGATTGGTGTTCTGGGCAAGATCGACGAGGACAGGAGATTTAGAAGCGACCGAAGCAGAGGAAGAAGAATGTCGAGAAGCAGAAATAGAAGGCACGATTGATCTTGCGAGAAGGTTTCGAGTCAAGTTCTTAACGGCAGAAGGGAGGACGATGGTCGCAGTCGAGCTAGTGAGATCATCAGAAGGATCAGCGGTAACCGTAGCCGTATCAGCAGCAGCAGCAGCAGGAGGAGGAGACTCGGGCGGCCGTCGAGAGGTGATTTCGATCGGTCGATTATCGGTGATCACCGGCAAGCTAGTTGAAGTTGAATTTGATGAAGGGCCAGGAGGAGGAGGAGCAGGATCGGCGGAGGACTCCGGAAGGTCAGAGCCTCTTTTTGAGCTTGCGGACTGATGATCCTCAGTGTCGAGCGTACTGAGGGGATGACTCCTTCTGTCTCCACTAGTGATCGTCAGAGAGAGTCGACGCTCGTCCGAGGTTTGGATCACAAACTCCTGGGCAGGGATTGGTTTACAAGAAGCCGGGGAGCTAGAGATGATCAATTGACCCGGATCGTCGGCTTGACCATCCTCCTTCGACCCGCCAGTCTTCCTCATCAAGATCCCCGTCTTCTCCGACGTATTGTTGATCTTAGTCGAGCCCGATCCATTGTTGGAGAGCGCCACTCCCAGCGCCAGATCGCGCACCAAGACTTCCCGATAACAGACCAACTTCGACAGTTGACATCGCGAGTTACGCACCCGATTGGCCACTGGCATGATCGCTAGTTGTAGCTTGGACCGAGTCGAGAATTGGAACGGGGTCAAGACGGCCAGGTTACGCGCCAGTCTTAGATCCTCATTCAGTTCGGTCTTGGCCGCCATGATCTGACCTTCCAGACTGATGATTTGTGCCTAAAAGAATAATGAACATCCATCCATAAGTTTAAACTATTGCGATGGGGGGGGGGTAAAATTTAGGGAAGGTTTGACTGACTCTGACAAGATCCCAATGACTAGGAAGATTATGAGAAGAGAGGAAAGAGAGCCGATTAGAATTCGTGCTACTAGAGCGGGGACTTTCACCGATCAAGGAGGGGCCGAGATCAAAAGGTCTAGCGGCGGCAGCGATCATGGAATGATGATGATGATGATTAGAGAAAGAAGTGGTGCGAGAGAGGATAGGATGATCATCCACAGATCTTCTGGCCTTCGTCTCGTTCTTCTCGCCTCCTTGAGAGTATTGATGATGATGAGCTCCGGTTTTGCGCAAGGAAGAGGAAAAGGAGAGCAGACTCTCTGCACTATCTTCGTTTGCTCCTCTGCCCATCCCATTAATCGTCTCCGGCGTCCCATCCAATCCGGCTCGTTGATAAATCCGATGGGTATTACTCTTCGTCATCGTGGTGGCTGTGGTAGGTCTGCTCGTGAACGACGCTCGGGGACTCGACTCGGCTCGATTTGTTACCCAGAATGGAAGCCGATGTGTCTTGTATGCCGCCGCATAATTTATATGCGCTAAAAAACATAATTCAGTTTAATGTTGTGAAATCAGATATTGATAAAAGAAATAGACGAGATTAGGGAACTGACTGATCCATGAATTCATATCTTCATGATCATCGACGCCCATTAACAGACTAAGATCCTTAGTCAACACCAATCTAAAAGTACAAGGTCTACGTTGATATTCCCTAAACAACCCCCTCCCCCAAAACAAAAAGGTAAGAAATCAGGAGCAGAGGAAGAGTATCAGAGGGAAAAAGAAGAGAGACGAACGAGTCCAAGAGCGCGATTCCGCCGTCGAGAGACAAGACCAGATCGGGTTTCAGACCGGTGATCCGGACGACCAATTGGTCCTCGGGATTCGCTTCGTTTCGGAACCGTGCCAGCTTGATCGACTCTTGCAATTCGCCCGCCAATCCGACATCTTTCTATAATCCCCTCCCACCCGCAAACCACATGTTTTGAGAATGGTTAGAAAGAAAAAAAAAGAGATGATGATGATGATGATGGTAAGAAGACTTACGATCAAGATCAATTGCCGAGCAGTAAGCAAGACGCAAAACAGCTTCCACTTTTTATTGATGACGTTCTTACTCATACTGATTTCATTAAGAGAATTAGCCGAATTGGAAGCCGGGCCATTATTATGATGATTACCAAGAGAATGGGAGAGAGAAGAAGAAGCAGAAGAGGTGAGAGGGGGAGGAGGAGAGGTTGAGAAGGGGGTAAAGGTGTCGATTTTGAGATGGACGAGGCCGACTTTGATGGCCCGAAGATTAAGGAATGTGGGGTTGATGACAGGATTAGAAGACGAGGAAGGGATAGGCGAAGCGACCAAGGCAGGAGATTTCGAATCGAGGGGCGATAGGGTGGGGGCGGCATCATGGGTAGGATTCCGTCTGAGCAGGGGCGAGGAAGTAGAGGGGGAGCCGTCGGCGGGGTGGTCCGAGGGGAGCTCTTCGGCCTCGATGAGTTTGAAGATCGATGCGATCTTGGTCGGGGAGAGGTTGACGACCTGGATGATCACCGATTTGGAGGGGTGGAAGGAGTCTCGGAGCCGCTTGAAGTCGAACCATGACACCGAGCCTGTGAAGCTGAACGGGTTCCGGCTCGGGATCACCGCGCCCAAGTCCGGCCTCAGCTCGTGGGTCGAGCCTTTTGCAATCAGGTGGTACGGATCTAGCTTGCTCTTCGACTCCTTCGTCCCCGGTAAAATACTGCTCGATTGCAGGATCGGTGTGATGTTGTTGCTGTGTCCGCCCAGGTTGAAAAACGAGGTGCTCGTGTGTTGCTCCGTTGTTTGTTGATGTTGACTGGTGATCTTTTGGCCTGAGATATCTCGATCTGGATCTACGTATACAAAAGGCGTGTAGGTGATATTATCATAAATGTACTTATATACGAAAAGACACACACACACAGATCATTAATTTCTTGCTGTTTTTTTTATTGAAAACATGATCTCAACCCAACAATTTAAAGAAATTAGACAAACCTCCAACAATTCATTAGGGATCCCATCCATCCTGGTATTCTTAACATAATCAGCGCGACTCATTTTAGCCTTATTAGACTTATTAAAAGCGTCGGTATGCAACATGATGATCGAGAAGGCGAGGATATAAACTTGATCTGATATCCGCCGTCGCCTTATCCAACAATCAACATCCTATCTCTCAACTCTATCAAAAAAAAAAGTACTAAAAGAAAGAACGGACCAGGAGAGGTAAACAGTTTGGGATTACAATGCGTGTATCGTTTGGAGAAGCTTTCAATAACCCGATCGATTTGTTGCGTCTCGGACGGCAAGTCGACAACCATGAGCAGTTTGCGAAGCGACAGATCGATCGGATCATGGCTGAACTCAAACGAGCTCATATATTTCGTCAAAGCCGATAAATGAAACGGATCATTACTGTTTTTTTTGCATTTACATCAGTTTTTCTTTTGAGTCTCCTCAAATATGAGAGAGAGAGAGAGCATGGACTGACCTGGATGCTAGGATGCTCGGAATCTTACTCTTCTCAAACAGAGCGCCCAACCTACTCAAATAAGCCTCCTCGGATTCATCCGTGGGATTTCTTTCCAAGGGCTTGGACTTGCCGACGGTCGATGAGATTGCTGTTGCAGATGTGGTTGTCGGACGGCCAGGCTCTTTCTCCTTCTTCATATTTTCTGATCAAACCAAACCCAACCCAAAAGTCAGCATGAGAGAGGATGTGTAGTAAGTGAGCAGGAGGGGAGGGGGAAATACTTTTGGTGAGTTCGATGATAGGTTGGATAGGATTAGAGACAGAGTTCCGAGTAGGACGTTTGACTTTGGGCGTTGCAGCCGTCTGTTGTTGTTGTTGCTGTTGCTGTTGTTGTTGTTGTTGTTGTTGTTGTCGCTGAGTATTAGCGACAGAGGTCATAGTCAAGGGCATCGAAGAGGAGGGCAACGAAGAAGGAGCCGGGGAGGAACGGAGGCGGGGGTCGATGAACGCCTCGCGGTTATATTCGCGAGGAGAGAAGGAGGAAGCCGGGCCGAGGGAGCGGTTGATTCGGAGCTCAGAGGCCCCCCTATTGGCGGGCGAGCTGCCGATGCGAGCCTGGCTGAAGGAGCGCGAGATCGGATGGTTGTTGGCACTCGGCTGTCCTCCACTCTTCTTCTTCGTCCCTGCCGTCGTCGTTGTCATTGCTGTCGTGCTGGTTTTCTGGGCCGTTGTTCCTCGTAGTTCTTCCATCGTTTGTCGTTGATGTGGACCCATCGAATCGGATTGGGATCTATATAATGGAAAGATAGATCTTTTTTTTTTGAGGGGAAATTGGGAACCCAAAACAAGAATTCAGTGATTTTGTTATTCCCATTGTATTGTATAAGGATGAGAGGCTGACCTTTCACTACTAAGATCGAAATAGCCGACAGTTTCTTGAAGATCAGTAGAGGATCTCCTTTGGATTCCATCGTTGTTGAGTTGCAGGTTGGGGTTGATAGAGTTGGAGGAGGAGGAGGGGGTGAGGTCGGGGAAGAGTTCGATGGCAGTCGAGAGGGGAGGGGAGGAGGAGGAGGCAAAGGAGGATTTGGGGGTCAAGCCGGCCTTGATCCGTTTGAAGAGACTAGGGGTGGAGAGGTGGGAGACGGCAGAATGGGGCCGACTGTCATCCTTCTCGTCAGGGTTTCCGATCGTAAACAGTGGGGTTGAGGCTCGGCTGTGTAACTTGCGTGGTTGTTGTTGTTGTTGTTGTTGATGAAGGATGGGGTCGATGTTGGATTGACTGAATCGCCGTGAGCTCCGTCTTGAGATAGGCTCAGTTGTTGTTGTTGTTGTTGTTGTTGTTGAGATGAGGGCTGTTCGAGAGGGAGTTATTGATGATGAGAGGTCTAGTTGAGGGAGGACGTCGGGTGAGGAGAAGCTCGGGTTTCTTGATAGATTGGGGGAGAGGTTGCTGGTTGGGCGTTGTTGAGTGGGTGAGGAGAGTTCCTGGGAGGTAGGATGAATTGAGAGTGGTGGTAGAGTGGGTTGTTCGTGTTGGCTGATGTTTGTTGTTGTTTGAGTTGGTTGTTGTTGTTGAGTTGGTTGTTGTGGTTGGGTTGGTTTTGGTTTTGGTGGGAGGAGTGGTAGTTGGAAGGAGGATGAGATGGGTGATGAGGGTGATGAGTTGGGTAGGAGTCTGATTCTGTTGTGAGGTAGTTCTTCTGATGATCGGGATCGGTTGATGGGTTTAGTGGGTAGGCTGAGTTGGGCTTGAGGTTCTGAGTGCCTGGATGGTTTTTGGTAGGGTGGGGTGGTGTTGATGGTTGGGATGGGTGTGTGTTGTTGTTGTTTTGGTTTGGGTGTTGGTCTTGGTCTGGTTGAGTGGATGATGTTGGGTGATGGTAGTAGTAGTGCTTGTTGTTCCATGTTGAAGTGGTTGTTGTTGGTTCGTTCTGAGTGGGTGTCCAGCTGGATTGCTTTGCTCGCTTGAGTAGTGTAAGTATCCGGCTTTTGAGGTGCGTCGGCCTGTGATTGATGGGAGTCGATCGAGTTCTTGAATTTGAAATGCTGAAAACTATTTCGAAATCATTCTGAGAGCTTCTCCCGATAAGCATCCCATGCTAAATACTTCAAAAGAGCACATCTGTACATAAAATAATCTTCTTTTTCTTTTTTCGTTGACAACCCGGGGCATGATCCCGAACCCCAGACCGCTTATTAGACCATCTCCACCGCGGCTGCTAAACCGCGCTGCTAAACCAGATTTAGCAGCGCAAACACGGTTTAGCAGCTCCACTGCGGCTGCTAAACACCCAAAACTTTTAGCAACCCGCCTCTCGGCTGCTATCCTGATACCAAATTTGGCATCAGGATAGCAACCCGATAGCAACCCAGCCTCAAGGGTATCACAATTTTTTTATGTGATTCCCCCATCCATCCCCTCCCTATATCCCCCGATATCCACAAACACCCACCACATATATACCTACATATATCTCCAGCCACCATCCAACACAACACCAACCGCCCATCCAACACAACACCCTCCCTCCAACCGCCCATCCAACACAACACCCTCCCTCCAACCGCAAACATCAAGATGGCCCCAGCAGTTCCTCTCGACCCACTCCTTCAAGACACCGGAAGCGAGCAAGCCCATATCGAACCAAGCCAACAAACCAGCGAGGTCACTGAAAGCCAACGAGGAGACGAGCTGGGAACCAAGAGGTCGTCCAGCTATACGGAAGCCGAGGATGTCCAGCTTTGTCGTTCCTGGATCGTTATATCGGAGGATCCTCTGATTGGTACTAATCAGATGGCGCGACGTTTTGGAA